CCAAATCCTGGCATGCAAGGCTGCACCAAGGCAGCACAAGACATAATTGGTGTGCTCAGGGCCAGGCGAAGGGGTGTGGGCCCAGGGCCATTTAACCACTTAGTGGGCCCTAGGCAAACAAAAAACTAGGCCCTGGTCCAGTTGAGACCCCCCCTCCCCACCCCAGTGCTGAAACCTGTGGGAAGTGGGGCTCAGAGCTGCTGCTAGGAAGAAGCACTGTGGCAGCAAGGCCAGTGGATGGGAGGGAAAGGGAAAGGAACATAAGTGAACCAGACCATTTTTGCTGCCACTGCAGGCCTGGTAGAGGCAATGCAGGGCCCAGTCTGTAGACTAGCCCTATGTCACTCCTCTGGCCTGTGATTCCAAAAGATTGAGCATCACTACTTTATATGGAACATAAAATGAGGAAGAACCCTCATTCAGCCACTTAACCTCCCCCATGTCTTATATATACTCCTATAGCCTATATATAGTTGCCTTCCTGCTGGGTGATTAGTTTATTTGGATCACCATTGGGAGGCACCTAGGTCTTCCCATTCACAGTACAGGAAGTCTGGACATCTAACTCCATAGTTGGTTTCATAGTTTCATAGTTGGTAGGGTTGGAAGGGACCTAAGCAGATCATCAAGTCTGACCCCCTGCCATGGGCAGGAAAGGATGCTGGGGTCAAACGACTCTGGCTAGGTGATTGTCTAGCCTCCTTTTGAAGACCTAGGTGCCTCCCAATGGGTAGGGACGAGCACCACTTCCCTTGGAAGTTGGTTCCAGCTCCTAGCCACCCTGTGAAGTAGTGCCTCCTGATGTCTAGCCTGAATCTACTCTCAGTCAACTTATGGCCGCTGTTCCTTGTTACTCCTGCTAGTGCTTGGGGGAACAGGGACTCTCCCATTGTCTGCTGGTCCCCCTTGGCAAGTTTATAGGTGGCCACCAGATCCCCTCTCAGCCTTCTTTTATGGAGGTTGAATAGGTTCAGGTCCCATAGCCTCTCCTCGTAGGGCCTACCCTGATGTCCTCATAGGGCCTACCCTGATCATGCGAGTGGCCCTCCTCTGGACTGTCTCAGTGCTGTCCACATCCCTCCTGAACTGCGGCGCCCAGAACTGAATGCAGTACTCCAACTGCGGCCTGACCAAGGTCACAAAGAGGGGGAGGATCACTGCCTTGGACCTGTTTGTGATGCATCTGTGGATGAATGACAAGGTGTGGTTAGCCTTCCTGACTGCATCCCCACATTGGTGGCCCATGTTCATCTTGGAGTCAATAGTGACTCCAAGACCCTTTTCTGACTGTGCTGACAAGAAGGGAGTTCCCCAGCCTGTAGGTATGCTGCTGGTTCTTCCTCCCCAAGTGCAACACCTTGGACTTGTCCATGTTGAAACCCATCTTATTCTCATCTGCCCACCTCTGTAACCTGTCCAGATCTAGTTGTAGCCTGTCCCTCTCTTCTAGCATACTCACTTCTCCCCACATCTTAGTGTCATATGCGAACTTGAACAAGGTGCTTTTCACCCCCTTGTGCAAGTTGCTGATGAAGATATTGAACAGTGTGAGCCTGAGGACCGACCCCTTGGGAACCCCACTGCCCACATTCCTCCAGGTCAAAAATGACCCATCCACCACCACTCCCTGGCTGCAGCCCTCCAGCCAATTTGCAACCCATCTGTCTAGGCATCGACACCACAGTCGCCTACTTTTTTGATGAAGATGGGGTGAGAGACAGTGTTGAAGGCCTTCCTAAAGTCCAGAAAGACTATGTCTACCACAACACCTGCATCCAAGGCTTTTGTGACCTGGTCGTAGAAGACAACCAGGTTGGTCTGATAGGACCTGCCTCTAATGAACCCATGTTGATTGCCCCAAAGCGTAATCTCCCCTGCTGGTCCCTTGCAGAGGTGCTCCTGGATAATTTTCTCAAAGAGCTTGCCCAGGACCGAGGTTTCCTGGGTCCTCTTTCCTCTCTTTTTTGAAAATGGGGACCATATTGGTCCTTTCCCAGTCCTCTGGCACCTCCCCAGAGCACCACGAGTGCTTGTAAAGCTGTGCCAGGGGTCCCACAATGATTTCTGCTAATTTCCTGAGCACTCTGAGGTGGAGATCGTCAGGACCTGCTGATTTGAACATGTCTAGTCCCTCCAGAGGTTCTCTGACTAGGTCCTCATTGACCCTGGGCCTGGTTGCTCCTCTCCCGGGTCTGTCCGGGATCCCAGTGGGGCGGGATGTCCCTGTCCCTGCTGAGAAAAATGGAAGCAAAGAATCTGTTAAAGAGATTAGCTTTGTCATCTGGTGCTACCACTGGATTACCAAGCATGTCCTGCAGAGGCCGCACGTTACTTGGTACCTTCTTTTTACCCCCTATGTATTTACAAAAGGATTTCTTGTTATCTTTGATCTGGGTCACTAGTTCCAGTTCCATCTCTGCCTTAGCCTTCCTAACAGCCCCCCTACAATCTCGAACAATGGAAGTATAATCCTCCTTGGTGATGGCCCCTCCCTTTCATTGGGTGTACCCCTCCTTTTTGGCTTTGAGACCTTCCTGGATGCTTCTGGTGAGCCATGGGTGCTTTTGAATACTCCTGCCCCCTTTGATCCAATTGGGGATTGTCACCCTTTGGGCTTGGAAGATCAACTCCTTAAGGAATGACCACTCTTCTTGGACTCCCAACTCCCCTCGCCTCCGGGACCTCAGTGCCTCCCTGACTAGTCTCCTTACCTCATTGAAATCTGCCCTCCTGAAGTCCAGGGCTGCTGCCTTGCTGCAGGCTTTTGCCACCTTGAGCTGGATGGTGAATTTCAGTAGGTGATGATCGCTATCGCCCAGGTGGTCAAGAACCCGCAATTCCCTCACCAGGTCACTGCCTGTGGCCAGGACCAGGTCCAACAAGGCATCTCCCCTGGTGGGACTGTGCACCTCCTGGGTTAGGTGGAGGTCCTGTAACTTGGCTAGGAACCTATATGAGGGGTCAGACCGGGCTGCCTGCTCTTTCCAGCGGATGTCTGCGAAGTAGAGGTCACCCAAGATGACCACATCCCTTGACTTAACTGCCTCCGTGAGCTGACCTGAGAATTCCTGGTCCAGCTGTTCCCCCTGGTTAGGTGGCCTGTAGTGCACCCCCACTGTTAGGTCCCTCTCCTCCCAACCCCCTTGTATTCTGACCCAGAGTACCTCAGTCTGCCCTACCTCAGACCCAGCCCTGTTTGCTGAGGATGTGTATTGCTCTTTGACGTAGAGCACCACACCCCCACCTTTCCTCCCTGTTCTATCCCACCTATACACCCTATAGCCCTTGATGTTTACCACCAAGTTTCAGTGAGCCCCACTATGTCTGGGTTTGTGTTAGCTAGCAGGAAGGCAAGTTCCTCCTGCTTGTTCACCATACTACGAGCATTAGTGTAGAGGCATTTAAGGTCTCCTGAGGGTGTATGCGTCTACCCCCCAATCCCAGGACTATCTGGGCCCCTGTCTCTTACCTGGGTATTCCTTGTGGTTGTCGCCTGTCTTGGCTGGGCTGTTCTTGTGGGTGTCTCTTGGTTCTGTGTTCTGTGGCTCCCTTGGTCCTCTTCCTCTCCCTCCCACAACAAGCCTAGTTTAAAGCCCGCCAGAGGAGATCAGCCAACCTGGAAGAGATTTGGATTGCTCTCTGTAGACAAGGCTCCTAAATTTCAGGTTTTACAAAGCCTAAGCAGAGGCACCTTAGAGGTGGATTAGGAATGAGCCCCCAAATCCAACATTTAACCATTAATTGCATTCATAAGTCCCTGGCTAGTCTGCTAAGTGCCGAAATCTCATAGTGCCTGAGCTTTCTCTGGTGAAGTTCCCTGTAGCCCTATATTTTTGTTTCAGGACAGGTATACAGTTGCCTAAGGCATCACAGCACTGAGCCATTCCCTTTTTCAAGCTTCATTCCATTGGGATTCACAAAATAGTTGTTCTCCTGCCTGTTTCTCTTTTAGGGTCTGATCCAGAAGACATGCTCAGATGCAGGAAGAAGAATGACCATTTTTACCTGATGGTGCCATGCCTAGTACATTCATTTGGGATAAGGGAGGTTTAGGTTCAAGTCTCTCCTCTCCCAAAAGTGATTTGAACCTACATCTTGTGCCTCCCAACTAGTTATAGGGCATTTAGGGATAGGTCTCTTGGTTCCTGCTGTTCAAGCTGTTACACTTGGCAAGGCATACTTATTCATTAGGTAAAGTAATAAGAAAAGTTAATACCTTGGCAGATGATGAGTGTTGTCATGGCTGTGCAATGTGAAAACTGGTGGCCGAGACTTTGAATTTGGATTTAAACCCAACTTTACTTAGGTGACATGTATTTGGAAGTGTGGGATCCTTCATACATGCTGGCTTAGGTCGTAGACCATCTTAGTGTAAGTGGTTTGAACTAATTTTATTTTCTTGTATATTTGTTAAAAAGTTCCATTTGCATTCAAATAAAATTATGCTGAGGCCAGCAAATATTAAATGTAATCCACACATGACACTGCACGAGCAGTCCAATATTTTGGCTTATCTGGCAGTTAAATTAATAAAAACTAAAAAAAAAAACCCAACTAAGCTCGCAATAATGTTATTTCAAGGATTCATGCTATTGTTTATTATGTTAATATATCAAATTGCAGTTACATGGTGTATTTTGTCATTATTAGGACCTGCTGGGCTTTCACATAAATCCTATTCGGCAACTCATAGAACCAGCTGTAACCAAATACCTAGAAGACTGAGGCCGCAGGTAGGACAACCATTTGTGCTTCTGATGTCTGAGAAAAGAAAGATAAATATTATATTTAAGAGTACTAAATTCTTTTCTATGGCAAAAAATGCAAAACTTTTAGGTGCCTTATGCTCCAGTGAAGAGGATATTGTGTTATATGTTTTTAGTATGGCATCACCTTTTTAAACACTGCAGCAACCAGTAAAGAGGATCATAAACAGGTTTTTGAAGATAAATGCCTGCTGATAACACTTCTGTACTTCCCATTAGTGTGCTAGCTCCTGAAAGAGTTAACATCCCAGAAAAGTATCAAAAGGCCTTCTTTTCATTTTCCTAAATAATATTTGGAAGGTAAATGCAAAAACTAGTGTGGATGCAATGCTAAGACAGAGGAATTACACACTTACAAATCCTGAGATTAAAAGTATTCAAGATTGGCTACTAGAGTGTTAATTTGGCTGTGCTACATACTAATGTATTAATGCCGGTTTTGCATTTAAGATGTACATATATGTAGTAATGCAGGGGGTTTCAACCAGAGGTACACATTTTCAACCCCTGGGGCTACTTGGGATGTCCTCAGGGGGCACTTCCGCTGGCACTTCCGACCTTCCCCTCCTGATCGGCAGTTGGCCGCTGGGGACCACCCCCACCTTGTCGACTGGCTGCTGGGGGACTCCTTCCTTCTCGACCAGCCATTGGGGGTACACTGACCCAAACAGGTTGAAAACCCCTGAAGTAATAGATCTGTTCTGTGGAGGTCTAATCGTTAACTCCTTATTTTTATGAGCAATCCTATTGAATTGAATGAGATTATTTACCTTGTGTGTAATCTGGTAGGACTGGTGATAATAGGCTCCCATTGGTGTAGGATCCATTATTATAGTAATTGGTTTTGTTTGTTTCTTTTTATTTATTTGTATAGCACTAACAGCATGTACATCAAACCAAGCTATAAATAATGGCTAAAAAATCATTTGTGTCAAATGATCTTAAACATCTTGTAATTTACTAAAGATGCAATGTAAGTATGCAAATATACTTTAAATAAGTCTGCCCAAATCTGAACAAGTACAGAATTTTGAAAATGATATAAAATTCTAAATATTATATCTTTATAATTATATAACATGATTCAATCTAATTTTATGGTTTAATATACTTTTCCTGGTGTTCAGATCACAGTATTATAAAGAGTAACATAACAACAGCTTTTAATTGGTCTTTTCATACTAGAATTTATTTTATTAAGAGCATGTTATAAAAAGACCCAGAAAATGAATAATTTCCTAAATTAATTAATACGTAACTTACCAACTATCGTTAAACCATTATTAATTATGATGGCAAAGTTAATTAAGAAGACTCATGGTTTCCTAAAACAAATAAACCTGCATTTTAAGCAATTTGTTCTTTAATGTCTTCCTTAATTGATTTAGACTGCTGCAGTATCATGTTATTCACTCAGAGAGAGAAAATCCCCCAGTGATCTGGAACAGAAAGGTAATGAGGCATGACATGCAAATCTCATAACAAGAAAGCACTTTTTAAAGTGTCAAGTATGTCAGAAATAATGGGCTGACGAGCTCAGGGACATGCTGCAAGTTCAAATAAATATTGCTTGTATTTATCCCTGGCAGGTAGAGATACAAAGTCAATAGAAGTTTCCAAACTGCTAATTGAAGTAAAGAAACTAAAATCAGAAGCGTAGAAATAGCAAAAAATAAAAATCCCATTTCTATCATCACCTATTATAAAGTTCTTTCCTGTAATGCTTCCTTTGTGTTTGCCATCTATCTACCTTTCACAGAACTATTGTCAGAAAATGTGCAAAAGCATTGTACAAACCTTTTTCTAGCGCATAGTGGCAGCCCACCTCCGTGATGTCTTGCCTCCCCCAGGGTGTGCACAGTGGCGGGAGCCCCCCACCCCCATGCCTCTGGAGGAGCTGTCCCCAGCCCCAATCATCCTGTGACTCACTCCAGGCTTGGGATCCCATTCACCCCAGCCTCTGCCCCTGCCCCACTCCCTGCCTCCCTATGTGGGCCTTGAGCTGGCCCCCCCCATGCCCCTTCCCGGATTTGTCTGCATGCGATCTGACTGCAATCCTGGCTTTGTGCAGGCTCCGTGTCTGTGTCTATGCGCCCCCACCCCCCTGCTGCAGCCAGTCAGAGCCCATGCGTGGGCTGCCCTGTGGCCCTCTGAACTGCCACCACTGCCCTGCATTTGCGGGAGCTAAGCCCCACTATCCTCGGCCTTCCACCACCTATGGTTTGTGCCTGCCTGCCTGCCACATGTGCTCAGGTAAAGTATAATTTTTTATGGAATATTCACGGAACTACTGGGACCCATTTGCCAAGATCAGTGGTAGTTCCGTGACTATTCCATGAAAAATGATACTTTACCCACACACGTGCCACAATTTTTTTACAAGAAATCTGTGATTTTTCTCAGTGCCCTAAATATGGCTGCCTCTTAAAACAATTCTGACAACACTTATATTGTACAGTCTTTCTTGAAATTGTAAAGAAGATAGATACTTTACTTGTATGAGCTACCTGCTTTATTTTGTCTCCCTCCTGTCCACCCTGCCTCTCTTAGCAGTGCCACTCTTTTTCCCTCACCACTTAACTACCATTTGTATGCTAATCACTGCTTTTTATTTAGAAGCTTTGCTTCTTGCAGTCCCTTCATGGCATCTGATGAAGTAAGCCTTCTGCTTATGAAAGCTTATGCATCTCTGATTTAGTTAGTCTATAAGGTGCAAGTTTACTCTGCCTTATACTTTACTCTGATCATTGTTTTAGAAAATTATTTTCAGAAGTCATTGAACATTTTTAGCATGTAAATGTAGTTGAATAACAGGAATGTCTGAGTCATGTAAGCAAGTTTCAGCTTTCTGTAGTGGGACAACGCATCAAGCATGGTACCATTAAAATGAATAAAGCTGCTCTTTATTATATTCTTATGATTGCCTACCAGCATATTCTACCAAAACTCCCCAAATTAACCCCTCTGCAAACAAACAGACAACTCTCATGCAGCTCTGATTTAGTGCTTCTTAAACAGATTTTTTTAAAAACCCACTGGATTTTATTTTAAACCTGCTGGTCAAACTTTAGATGTTACTATATGCACCTATGCAGACAAGGTTCTTTGGGTAAATCTGATATCTTTTATAACACCAACTCAAATGGTTGGAAAAATTCTGCACCTAGGCATTTTGGAGGTTATCTCTGCATTGCGTACCTTTCATCACTGAAAGGTTATATCTTTAGGCTTTCTTGTAGATTTATGATTGTGAGATGTTTCTGTTTTTTAGAACCAAGTGAAAGAGATCATCAGATGAGGAAAGTCATCAAGAAACAAAAGGCAAGGATAATATTGCTTTTTTCTCTTGAAGCCAGTTATTAACATTATGTGAAAAAGGGAGAACAAGATATTTAAAAAATTATTGCATCAAGCTTTCTTACAAGCTTTCTATGCACTTAGTTTCCATATTGGCAAAGGGACTTTTTTTCCAAATCTTTCGGTTTTGTTTCTGGTTACTACAACCTTTTAAGACTAAGATTAATAAAAGAAAATGAAAATAAACTAGTTTATATGAGGATAATAAAGATAAACATTTTATATTTAATTTGAAATATGTAAGTGTATTAAAAAATAATACATTCATTTTAGCCCATTTAATACGATGTCCAAAGCATTAGCAGAAAGTGATAATCCTATCAAAGGCCCTGATCCTGCTGAGATATGAATATGCACTTAACTTTATACACTGTCAAGAGTCCTGGGAATTCAATGTGTAAAGTAAAGTGAATGTGTAAGTCTTCATGTGTTCTGGATTTAATTCTGTAGTGGGAAAATAATGTTGTTAACAGTACTGAAATGTGAAAACTTTAATACAGGTCATTTATAACTGCCAGTCTAATGTTATGGAGCTCAGTCCAACAAAAACTAAAAATAGGCCTAACTTTATTCATGCAGGTATCCCTAGTGATCTCATCCCTTTATAACCGTGTTAGTTAAATTTAATCATTATTCCTAGATGTATTATGCACATTTAATGTTAAATGTGTCTGTTTAACTTTATTATTATCAACTTCTGGTCATCTTTATTTTACTTTTTGACTGTAACATTTATCAATACTTTCACTCAGGTATTATCAACAGGTCTTCCAGCAAACAGCTGAAGGCAGTGATATATGAGTTGGTACAAAAAAAGCCAACAACCTAACACCAATCATCACTAATATCTGACCTTATAAACTCAGCACAAACAGCATATGTTGTTAGCTACTGTTAATGAGTAGTGTGCAACACAAGCCTACATGAAAAATATTTTGATTTAAGATTAAGCAAATTTAAGAAATTGGTCACATTTTTATTTTTGATTTTAGAGTGAATTTTAACTGAACTGTCTCAGGCAATTGTAGTGATTTCTAGTTCATATTTAACTTTCCTTATTGGCTTCATAGAATATTATAGTTACCATGCTAAAATGTGTACTTGAAGAGCTGAAGAACACACTGCATTCAAAAGCTTGTCAGTCTATCCTAACCATACAGTAGATCAGTGTTTCAAAATGTGACTGGCAGTCCTGATCAAACTATGGACCACATAACAACACTCTGTCCTCTATACACATTTGACAATGACATTGTAGAGATACATTCCCTTTCCTCAAGACCATTAGACTGGTTAACTAACCTTAAACTGAACTTATAATTGTTGCTCTAAGTCAGCCATACAAAAGAAGAAGCTGCTCAACATAAGCAGAAGGAGAAAATATTATTTGAAGGGGGGCTGAGTGTATATACACATGCAGGTACACACATACACATATGCAGGTAAGTCTGTGGAGAAGAGAAGATGGGTGGGAGGAAGGGGAAGGGGTGTGGGGGTGCAGATCGAGGCCCCCACAGCAAAGAAAGGAGTGGGAGGGGCTGGAGTGAATGGGGCCCCAAGGCCGGGGTGAGTCATGGGACAGGTGGAGCCTGGGTGGCTCATCCAGTGTGGGGCAGGGGAGCTCCCACCACTGCACGCACCCTGGGGGAGGCATGGGGGGCATGTGCCCCCCAGACTTGTGCATAGGGTGGAGGTAGACTGCCACTGTAGACTGGGGTTCTGTGCCCCTCTGCCTTGGGAGCTGCTTGATGCCATGTGCCTGCTGCTGCTGGGCTGCACTTTATTCCCTGTCCACTCAGTGGCGGCAGGCACATGGTATCATACACGGCTCCTGAGGCAGTGGTAGTGGGATGCAGAGCCCCAGCTTGCAGCAGCAGCCTGCCTCCACCCCACTCACAAATCTGGGGGGCATGTACCCTCCGTGCCTCCCCTAGGGTGTGTGCCATAATGGGAGCCCCCCCTGCCACCGATGGCTCTGGATGAACCACCTGGGCTGACTGTTCCATGACCTGCCCCAGCCTCAGGGCCCCATTCACCCCAGTCCCTGTCCCACTCCCTCCCTATTGTGGGGCTCTCAATCTGGCCCCCACTCATGCTCCTTCCCTTTTCCAGACTCAAAATAGGACTCAAAAAGAGTGCACGTCCAGAAAAATTCAGACATATGGATACCCTAGCAGTGCTCTACAAGTCCCTGGGTTGCAATCCTGGCTGCGTGCAGTCTGTGGCTGCATAGCTGTGTCTGTGCCCATCCCCTGCTGCAGTTGCCCGGAGCCTGTGCCAGGACTGCCCTGTAGCTCTCTGCTGCCACCACTGCCCCACATTTGAGGGGGCTTAGCCCTGTTAGCCCCAGCCTTCTGCCGCCTATGCTGGTTAATAAAAGATTTCACCCACAAGTCCTTGCCCCTCACCTCTTTCCTGGACCATCGCAACTATAACATACATCCAACAGTACTTGTCTACCTGTTGGCTAACCAAATTTCAATCAGGTTTCTGAGCTTAATACCTGGAGTTGCTCCCCAGGTTCCTGATCTAGTGTAACCGTTAGAATGGATCATCCACGCTTCATTTTCTGACAGTTTGTCAAAGGTCCACCCAAACTTAATAGCCCTTTGGGCTGGTGTGGCTATAGCACATCAGTTTCTATAGCTGTAGGAACAGAAGATTGAAAGCCGGGAGTCAAACTGAGAGAAAACAAGGTTGGTGGAAAGGAGTTGGGTGCACATAAGAGGATAATAATATGGAGAGAAAAGAAGAGAAAAAAGTCAGATAAGAAAGGGAAAGGGAAGGAATAGGAATATAAGTAGGAAGACCGGGAGGGGAGAAATGCAATATTCCAGATATAGAATCATAGAAATATAGGGCTGGAAGGGACCTTGAAAGATCATTGAATCCAACCCCCCGTGCTCTGGGCAGGCATACTGCTAAAATCAAATGATCCCAGCAAGGTGTCTGTCCAGCCTCCTCTTGAAGATTTCCAAGGTTGGGGACTGCATCACCTCCTTGAGAAGTCTATTCCAGATTCTGCTTACCCTTAGTGTATAGAAGTTCTTCCTTACATCCAACCTGAAACCATCCTCTAACAGTTTGTGACCATTGCTTTTGTCTCCTGGGGCACCTTACTGTACAGTTTGTCTCCCAGCTCCTGATATTCACCCCAACATACTTATAGATGGCCCCCAAATCCCCTCTCAGTCTTCTCTTCCCCAACCTGAACAGTCCCAGATCCCTTAGTCTTTCCTCATAAGGTTTGTCTTCCAAGACCTTAATCATTCCTGTGGCCCTTCTCTGGACCCTTTCAAGATTCTCCACTTCTTTTTTGAAGTGCGGCACCCAGAACTAGATGCAGTACTGCAGTTGGGGTTTCACCAATGCTGAGTAGAGAGGAAGTATCACTTTCTTAGCTCTGCTCGCGACGCATCAGCTAATGCATCCTAGTATGCTGTTAGCTCTGTTGACTACAGCATTGCATTGGTGGCTCATGTTCATTCTGTGAGGTCCCCGAGGTCCCTTTCAGCTGTCATACTGTCCAGAATATCACCTAACCTATATTCACGTCACTGGTCACTCCCTAGGTGAAGCACTCTGTATTTATCCTTACTGAATGCATCCAGTTCCACTCCACCCACCTTTCCAGCTTGTCCAGGTCCGCTTGGATCTGCAACCTATCCCCTAGCATGACTGCTTTTCCCCATAACTTAGTATCATCCACAAACTTGGCCAGTGAGCTTTCCACATCCTTATCTAAATCATTGATAAAGATTTTGAACAGCACGGGGCTAAGAACTGAACCCTGTGGGACACCACTGGCCACTTCCCATCACGACAATACAGACCCATCCATTAACACTCTTTAGGTTCAACCTCTTAGCCTGTTCCCAACCCACCTGACTAGCCCACAATCTGGACTCTGCCAGCCCACAATTCCCCAGGTTTTTTTTTATAAAAGTGTCATTGGAGACCATATGGAAAGCCTTTTTAAAATCCACGTATATGCAATTAACCATCACTCCCACATCTAAGCAGTTTGTTACCTGATCATGGAAGGAGACGAGGTTGATCAGACGTGACTTGCCCACAGTGATACCATGTTGTCTATCCTTCAGCATCATGCCTTCTGCCAGTCTATCACAAATGGACAGCTTAATAATTATTTCCAAAATTTTACCTAGTATCAAGGTCAAACTGACCTGCCTATAGTTTCCTGGATCCTCCCTCCTGCTCGCCTTAAAGATTGACACCACATTGGCCCTTTTCCAGTCTTCTGAGGAACAACCACCCTTCCTGACCTCCCTTCCCCCACAGTCACTCTTCCCATAGGGTCTCTCCAACTATTTTCCTAAGCTCAATGAAGTCAGCCTTCCTGAAGTCAAGCACCTCTGCCCTACTAATTGACTGCCCTGCCCTATGACGGATAGTGAATTCTGTCTTCTCATGATCACTATCTCCCAGGTTACCCTCAATTCTCAGATCTCCCACCAGGTAATCCCCTTTGGCTAGAACGAAATCCAACAAAACCTTCCCCCTGGTTGGCCCATTCACCTCCCAGACTAAATAAAATTCTTCCTCACTGGACAAAAACCCACATGACTGGTCAGATCTGGGCAGGTGCTCCTCCCAGCACTTTTCAGGGTAATTGAGGTCAACCATGACAACCATGTCCCTTGAACATGCAGCCTCCATCAGTTCTCTGGAAAATTCTAGCTCTTCCTCCTAGTGTGATGGTCTATAGTAGATGCCTACCATCAAGTCCCCCGAGTATCTTGACCCACAGGGTCTCAAGTTGTCCTTCTCTCAAACCAATTTGGCTCTCTGAGGTGGCAATACTGCTCTTTTACATAGAAAGCTACACCTCCGCCCTTCTGTGCAGCCTGTAGTCCTCTATGCATACAGCCCAGTTATGCATGGAGTCCCACCAGGTCTCCTTTATTCTGACAACATCGTATTCTGTATTTGCTAGCAGGACT